TGAGGAACAAGCTGGAGGCTTTCCCTGAGATGATCCGGCCCTACTTCTCGCTGCTGGTCTGAACGTAAAGGGTTTGGGGTTTAGGGTTTGGGGTATGGTAATTTCCCTGAATAGGGGGACCAACAGTATAGACTCCAAAATGCTACAGTCTTTGTTCGAGGGACCCCCAAAAAAGTGCACGTAAATTTGGGTAACTCCCAAATCGGGCTTAGGGTTTGGGTTCTCGGATTGGACCTCAGGATCTGGTGGTTGAAGCATCAGGCTTGCAAGTCCTGCACGCTTAGGGGAGAAGATCCTAGTGGCTCTTTAGGGTTTAGGTTTAGTGGTGGAGGGGTTTAGGGTTTACAGCTGGACTTGCGACGCTTAGCGGTATTTTGTGCAATCCTAAGCCCAGCAACTGCATCCTTCTCAATTCTAGCCTCGAACCCTAGGTCAGCAGTCGTTAGGCTTGCAAGGCCACAAAGTTTCCAGAGCTAAGACGTTCAAGGTTGTAAGCCTTAGGGGGATATATGGGTTACATCTGGAGTTTCTAGGGATATGTAGGATTTAGGGTTTCTCATAATCAGGGGTACCATTGTCTATACTAAGGATTATAGTATTAAAGGCGCTCTGCCGGATGTGAGATTAGTCAAGGTTCATATTTGGAACCTTTGAAGTCTACACACCCTAAGCCTGAGCCGCAATAAAGGCGCTTCATCTACGCGGAGCTTTTCGCCCAAACGATGTCTGAAATGGCCTCCGTCTGGGCCTCGAGGGGGATGCAGGTGAAGTAGGGTTCAAGCTGACATAGGGATTTCCCAATATTGAGGTTGCCATTTTGGGGATCCCTATAATAAGGTCTAGAGCATTTGGGGGTCTACATTCGGTCCCCTTATTTTGGGTAACTACCATACAGCCTCTAGAGTTTAGGGTTTAGGATTTATGGTCTTTCCCCCCAAAATTAGGTGGAGATGTGGCCCAAGTTATTGTTCTACAGGTAAATTCTACGCAGTTTTGGAGGTTCAGGTAATCAGAAAGATTCGTCCAAATGATTCACTCAATTGTTTAACGGCTCCTGAAGTGTCTCCAACAAGGTGCTTCTACTTCTGGAATTTATGCGCGATGATTCTACCTTCTTGGTCTAATCGGTAACCCTCCTTGTGAGCTACACTTGTGAGTGATGGTGGCTGATATAGTGCCATGTCATGTTAGCTTCCCAAACATCCTCACGCTCCCCTGGAGATCCAAATAGCCAAGTGTAGGTATTGTGGATCCCGAAACCCGGAGACCTAAAGCAATGTAATTATTATTTGTATACTTGGTTCCCTACGCCTATCTTTGCATGGCAGAACACTATGTAGGTTTCCCCGCAGGCCTGATGCACGTGTTGATACTACAAACCCTGCATGGCCGTGATACGCTAATAGTACTATAATTGCCAAGGTATGAGGTACTAGGGTCATGCAGGATTTTTAGTATCCACCGTAGTTTCCCAAAATAGGGGGACGTTCAACATTGACCCCCCAATGCTGTAATCCAGTTGCATCTACGTAAACACAGAGGCAGCCAGCTGAGTTTGAAAGTACGTGTAACTGTACGTAAGCTTTCCTCTAGCACACATGCTTTGCACCCAAACCCAAAACCTATCTGCAAGCGTAAAGTATTTGTTGGATTTGTTGGCAATAGCGTAAGCCTTTAACCAAAGCTTCCCACATCCTGATCCGCGTGGGCCACCAGGTCATTGCAGTTTTCATCTTCCTCCGTGCCTGGAATCTCGGATGCGCCGAACTTTGTTGTATGGTACTTGCTGGTGAGAGGATGTTTGTTGCCTCAGGCGTGGTGCCCCACGAATGGCATGCTCAACATGTTCATTAGCATGTGGCCATTTGAAGCCTAGAAGCCCTAGCTGCATTCCTGGTGTTCAAGCTGTGCGGAGGTTCTTTAGGCAGGCATTCGAATGACTCCCCGCACTTGAGGAGGATGCAGAAGCCACTGTTCCAGCAGTTTTGGCAGCGAAATGCAACAGGCGGATGAAGCATATGCCTGTGCTTGTACTGGGGCGTCGGTCCAGAAGCTGCTGAGGCGGTTGATGCGTTGCAGTCGTGGAAGCTCAACGTCAGGTTTGGGCTCAAGGGCTCAAGGCGCCCATGAGGCAAGGTAGTCTGGCTTTTATACTTTCCATGCACCCCTCGCCCGTACGCAGCAGCACGACAGGTTGCTGTTGGTGGAAGATGGGAATGTGAGCGGGTCACCGTTTCGGGCCCATGCTGGCTTGGAACGCCATGTTGGTTGCTTTGGCCTTAGGCACCAGGGCCATGATGAGCACAGCGTTTTTCGGATGGAAGCTTCATTTTCACGAGCCTTGCAGTTCCTTTGCTCCTGTGTTGTAGTCGCTTCATTTGGAGTAGCGGCCTTCAGCCATCAAAGTGCAACCAAGGCATTTGGATGCTGCCGGCCTGGGCCACCAGACCTTCGCGACAAGACGATTTTCTGTTAGTTGCAGGCGCCCTGTGAAAGCTGGTTCTGAGTCACTGCTGTGCAGAAGCCATGCCAGACGAAGCAGCAAGAGCGCAAGGTACCAAAGGCAACGCAGCACAAGGAACAGAACCAGCAGCAGCAGCAGCAGCAGCAGCAGCAGCAGCAAGAACAATAACAATAACAATAGACACATTGCGACGACGATGTCAAGGACAGCACGATATCAAAGACAGCCACATCGATGACAACAGCACCAGACAAGGACAACGCGACAATGACAGCAACAACACCCGTCATTCTTAGCCATGAACAGAACGAATTTAACGCCGTCAGCAGCAATTAGCTGTAGCGACCCCGTACAACATCTAATGAGTTACCTGACATACAAAAACACAAGCTGCTGAATCTACATTGATGTATACACAGCAAACATTGAAACAACACGTGACAAACAACGTTGGCAAGCACACAAGTTTTGACGACGTAAGACCGACTGAGATGTTCAGACAGCCGTCGCTCAGGGGCATTCAGGGCCCATCCGATGCCCAACATGCTGCTGCGAGCGTATTTGAGGTTATTGCTTGCAAAACGCATGCGCGCTCAGCAAGGACCTATCATGCACATATACCGACCACTGCTTTGGGATGTTTCCTTGCAGGAGAGATTGCTGAGGGCCCGAGAGACTTGATACGGGATTGTGTTGCACGTGACCCATCTTGCCTTGATTTCTCCTCGTACAGGGACTGATGGACAAGGACTTGTGCTACGTAAGGTATTGGCAAGTAGGATATCTGGATCCGGTATATCTGCACAGGCTTCTCATCCCAGAACGGCCTAAGGGTTGCCAAGCCAGACATCGCATGTTGCCTGCAGCATGTATGGCCACAGCGCATCCTCGTAATAGGGAAACCGAAAAAATCGAAGCAGGACTTGTGTGGGAGTGTCAGACATTATGCTCATGACAAAATTCCGTATCGCAGCTTTGCGATTTTTGCTGATGCACTTGTCAGGTGGAGAAGACTCGGCAAACAGTCCTACCGACTGGCCCTTTCTGCCCAAATCCTGCAAAGCAATTGGGGTCATCACGCTTGAGCCTGGCGAGACGTACCGCACTGAGGCCCTGCTCGGCTTCCGCACGCTAGCATTTCTAATCAATGTCTTCAAGGCTTCCTAATCATGCCTTCAAGTATGTTTAAGGAAGCACACTTCTACCCGAATGCGTAGCAGAAGGGTTCCCGTTTTAAGGTTGGGGTCCAGGGGTCCAGGAGGCGACGCGAAGTCGTTGCGTTTGTGGCCGCAACCGTCCGCAATCGTCCACAAGCATCCGCGGAGGGCCGGACATGCCGGAGAGACGAAAATCGCCGCAAAACGCAGAACTGTCACTTTTTACGTTTCGTATTACGACAGTGTCAACTGTCACAGGGATCGAGGGGGTCGTGGTCGCGAAACGCAGAACTGTCGTCACTTTTGGACTCGTCTTGCGTCTTCGCGTCTCAAAAGTGTCAACAGTCACAGGGATCGGGGGGGTCGTGGTCGCGAAACCCAGAACTGTCGTCACTTTTGGACTCGTCTCGGGTCTTCGCGTCTCAAAAGT